TGCCTACCCCTGGCCTAGGCGATCACATCGGAAGTGGGAACCTGTCAAATTCGGGTACCCGCTTCCCCAAGGTGCCAATTCTTAATGGGGGGGAGCGGGGGATAAAGGCTTAAAGCAGAACTTCCCTTTTTGGGTGGAGCTCTGCTTTAAGCTCTTTGCAAAGGAAGTTGCATTTTCAAGGCAATTTTGCCGAGTGAGCAACGTACTTTTTTGAAATGATTTGTCTGAGGAAGTGGTGTGACATCTATATTGCTAAGTTGGTTAGTAAAATTGTGATGAGCAAGGAGCCTGACAGAATGAGCAAGAGGTAAAAAGGTAGATGTGGGTGTCCTCATTCGTAAATCAATCTCACTGTGTAATCTCATCACAATTTCAAACGCAATCATTTTAGTTCAGTAAACAAAACTATACAATCTTTATTTTAGCAGACATCAATTTATTCATATTTAGTTATTCATTAGGATTCAGTCACCAATAACTGCAAACTATTCTAAGTAACTTTCAATGATTTATGAAGCACAAGCATACACTTTGGTACTGCTGAACCATTTGTCAAGTCTTAGAGCAGTCCTTCAACCAAAACTGCTGATTTTCTACGAGATGTGAAGAAACTGGGGGACAGCCTATGTGTGCAATTATATTGCCTTGGTTACCCTGCTGTGTAGATTCAGTAATAACTTTTGTATTTTCTCCTCTGTACTCTTGTGTTTATGACTGCTGTCAGAGTTGGCCCCACCCATTTCAATGTTCCTCCCCTGAAGGCATTATGACACTCGGTACCAGAAACACACAGCCTTGGATCTCAGAAACAATCCTGCAAAGGTGAAGCTATTTTGTTCTAGGTATAGAGGAAAGTCTACGTGTAAAATATAAATAGTTGGCAGTTCAATAAATGTGACATTTATAGAGGTATTTCTGTATTGGAAAATGTATATAAAATTGAAAAGTGCTCTGTAGCCTCCTGCCACATACAAAAATCATCCTTTCACTTCAACTCTAACCAGAAGTGGAACATTACAAATATCTAAAGACTAACTCCACCTTTGCATTATAATTCAGCACAAGTGGGCTGATTCACCTACAGTGTTTTACATCTGGAAAACCCAATGCAAATATTTCTCAGATCCTATGAGGCCACATTTAAAGCCCAACTCAACCTCCAAACAAAAGTAATTGGCTAAATTGAGGGTTCAGAAAGCCAGACAGAATTTTAAATGTCTTGATTTTGTTTTTCTTTAAAGGCCCTTTCCCTTGGCAGTGGATATGATTCCCATGCAGTTCTGTACAATGTCATTTCAACCCCATTAATTGTGACTGGACTGAAATTGCAGCGCACCAAAGGTAAGGCATGCACTACTTTTTGAAGCACGACGACTGGATCAGTCAGGTGTCATTAACTTTGCACTGATACCCGCAGCAGATTGCAAGGGTAGTGTGATTGGAATGCAGTATGGGAACGTGGCTTTCTCGCACTGCATTCTAGTGTGAAAGGTCCCTAAATTGTGCTCTGGTGACAGTTCCAAAGTCTATGCTCAGGCAGCAGGTTCTAGTGAAGAACCACTGCTGTGTGGAGGCATTGACCAGGTATCTCCACCCTGACTCAGTCACAGCTCTCCAATTTGCACGGAGCAGCAACTTTGCTGATTTGGAGAGTTGTAGCATTGATTAAGCAGGGGGAAAGTCCGACACCTACAAAGAGACCGCTGCATCCACACAGCAGCAGTCCTTTTCAATTGGCTGATCAGCTGTAGCCATTGTAAGCAATACTGGAAGAGGAAAGAAAAAAAAAAATGTAAAAAAAGCCTTTTTCTGCAGCCTCAATTTATCTAATCAAAATTTTACTGAAAGCTCAATTGGGCTGGTGTTATTCTTGTACCCGAATAGTTATCGGTTTTACATTATGGAGAATCCAGCTGGAAGTCTGTTACTGGCATTTGCAATAGCCATGGTACTTGATTGGAGCTGGGATAAAGGGAGGGGAAGTCTCACTACTGGAGCCCCCAAGAGATTGGATTCATACTATCCAAATACATGTAACTTGGGTGGTAACACACTCACATAAATGTGAATGGGCCCATAGAAATGTAATTTTCCTTTTACAATAAACTTTAGAGAATAGCTGTGAAGCAGCCATGTAAGAAGGAAAAGGATTTCTACTTTTAATGCATGAGATTTGCTGCATGAAAACTTAAGTATGAATAGGTCCTCAAGAAACCCACATACAATTCAAGTTATCTTGATTAGGCAAAGGTAAATTATCAGTCAAAAGTTAGCTGTCCCCTCGAATGGAAATATGTGATTTAAGAATACCACTGACCCATGGACACCACTAGACCTCTGAAGGTATGCTAAATTATCTGACACCACAGCCGTCAGTATCAAGTCCTGTAAATTTGCAAGGTGGGGCCTCCATGGATTAGGCTTGTTTTTCCAGCACATCCCACAGATGCTTGACAGGATTGGAGAATTTAGAGGCTAAATTAACACCTCAAACTTGTGTTACTCAAACAATTCTTGAACCATTTTTGCAGTGTGACAGGACGCATTATCACACTGGAATAAGGAACTGCCATCAGAGAATACCATTTCAATGTAGGAGTGTACTTAGTCAACAACAATGTTTAGGTAGGTGGTACATGTCAAGTAACATCTACATGAATGGCAGCGTCAAAGGTTTCCCAGCAGAACATTGCTCAAAGTTTCACACTGCCGGCTTGATTTTTTTTTTTTTTCCCCCCCATACTGCATCCTGGTACCTGATCTTCACCAGCTAGGTCAAGCAGACACACCCAGCCATTCAAATGATGTAAAAGAAAATGGGATTCATCAGACCAGGCCACCTCCTTCCATTGCTCCATGGTCCAGTTCTGATGCTCATGAGGCCAGTGTAGGCGCTTTGGCTGTGGACACAGGTTGGCTGAGAGCACTAAAAGGCCCATTTAGAGTTAATACATGTTTGAATAGACTTTTTATTAAACCTGAGTTTAGTGTCACTTTAAGAAGAAAACTGGAGGAGCAGAAGGTCTTGTAGAAGATATGTGCAGTTACCTTGAGGTGCCCATTTTGCTTTGCAGTGGTGACCAGATCCTTTTAAGCATCAATCCACGTGTCAGACAGCTGGAGAGCAATTCAAGTGTCAGGTACATGTTAATAAATTAGTGTTGTGGCTCTTGCATTTCCAAGCCATGGACCAGCCTTTCTTATATAAAACTGTCCCTAAATAATAATGACCTGTTCTGACTTTTTACAGAGTCACATACAAAGTGTGAATTTTGGATACAGACTGGCCACAGCATTAAATGCTTCCATACTGGAAGATGGGGGGTGTGGTCTCTGGGGACCTGCAAACAGAAATCTAATGGCCTTTATGTATAAGGCACCTAGTAAATATATACACCTGAGAAAACTGGAGAGTGTTCTTCTACTCGAGCAGATTCTGTAAACCTTTAGTCTCCCTACAGACAATGAACACTTTCCAGGCAGATTTGTGTGTCAGGCAGGTGCCTATATATCCACCAACCACTTTCCAATTAGTTCAGAAGATACAACAGGTTCCTGGGCACATGCTGAACTGCCTGGAAGGTCACTTTAACCAAATCTTTATTCCATCTGCCATGGTCCCCAGGCAGGATACAGAGTGAGGAGAGTTATTGTACTGCATTCAACTGCTTCCATCTTCACTGCCATGTAACTAGGAAGTAGTATGACTTAGACAGAGAGGCCCATGGTGTTTGCATAGAGAGGTTTTCAAAATCCTCTTAGAAAAGATACAGGAACGCCTTGCTTAAAAGAGACGTATAGCCAAAGCTACAGTATTTTGGCTAAACTCTTCCTTGGGGGGTCACAGGAGAGCAATTTGTTTTGCATTTCTGGGACTCGTTTTCAGCTGACAGTGGGCTAAAGCCTGCTTTCAGCTGACATCACAGAGCTGGTCCAGGCTCTGAAAAGATACAAACCATATGGTTGGGATCTACTCCGAATCCTGGACTGGCACTTGGCTCAGCCTCTCAGTGATCCACGGAGAGCCTGAGCCAGCCACTTCTGCTCCCTCCACTGCCAGACGCTCCAGTGAGCACTGGAGGGACAGAGCAGGTGGCTGACAGTCACAGCTCAGAGTGGAGGGAAAACTGAACGATCAGTGGTGTTTGATCACTCAGTTCTTGGTGCAGAGCCAGAGGCGGATAGATGCTGCATCCACCTAGGGGAGTATAATTTTTTTTTTTATAAATCCCATACTTCTCTTTAAACAATATTTTGTAATCATGTGCAAAAAGCAAAAATGAATTTCTTTTAGTTTCCTTCCATATGAGTGAATATTCAGCTTATTCACTAAGCATGAACTATTCAAAGTGAATATTTACTTTAAGCAAACAATTTTTCCTTCTTTAGTAAATTAAGTGATATGCCAGCCTTTCTCAACCTGTTTATTCCAGAGGAACCCTTAATATAATTTTTAGGTGTCAGGGAATCCTGACAAAATTAGTCCATTAGAAGTAATCTGAAAAATGCCCCCAATGATGGTTATAAAGCCACCTTTATTCAACTAAACAGATCACTGGTGGCATGCTACAGGCTCTGCCAAGTGGTGAAGAACCTGGAAATATGTGGGCACATCAAATGGAAGGTCAAACAGTCACAGCACAAAAAAACCCCTAGCATCCTCTGGAGGAACCCTGTTTGAGAATAGCTGCCCTAAGTGTTGTGTGCTAAGGAACTGGATACATTACACTGGCCAGTTCTATTTAGGCCACAAATGTGTTTACAGTGCTACATGAGAGAAGTTATTCCATGTGTGTTTAAAAACTCAAATGATATTTACCAATAAATTTTGATCCCTGCCTGGCAGCACTCTGTCAGCACAATGCTCCCCGGTTCACAGACCAGCAGTGAACACCAAGTTAAGGCACAACTCGGCATCAAAAATACCTAACCTACAAAAAGAAAAATTGAATTTTCATGTCTATTTAAAAAAAAAGCTCTTTGGAGTGTGGTCCACTAGGTCAAACATGTTGATATGCTTGATGTTTGCGGTACAAGCAATAATGCTGAGTGATGAATACAATGTCAAAGATAATAGAAAAGAGTCCCAAGCCAAATTTTGTGGGGTCACCGAATATTAACTTCCATTCATCTGTTGAAAGAAAAAAAAAAATGTTTGATTTCAATCAGTTCATAATTTGTATAAAATGTTGCCATAAAATAGGGCATATGGTATTTCAGTCCACACTATTGCGGTTTATTTTTGATACCACCAGTAAAGACAATAGAATTTGTTTCTCACCTTACTAAATTGTAATGCTGCCCTTCATTTTACAATAGAAGGTTTTCAGGGCTTTAACTGCAGGACTGTTCTAATAATGCAGTGTAATAAGTCAGCACAAACTACAGATGGCAGTAGACACATGAACTATCTGCTAGACACATGATCTACAAGGCACCCTCTAAAATTATGGACAGTCTTGAGGCACCCTTTAAAAATTATGGAAAGTCTAGAGAGACCCTTTAAAATTATGGACAGTCTTGAGGCACCTCATTCTAAAATGTAAAAAATATTCTAATAGTTTCATATAACGCAGCAACATCCACATATGTAGGACACCCAACATTGGAGCTGATTTATTCTTCCAAAGCAAAATACACTTTTGCATACTGGTACTGACTAGTATTCCAGTGTTTCTCTTCTCCCTCAGTTTTTATCTATCACTCAGCTAATGTGACCCCAGCACTGACGGAGGGACAGTGTAGATGAGGAACAGCCAACAACGGATGCCCCATAGTATAGTTATGAGTGACATCATCTCCCAGGCATCTGCAGCCATTGTTGACGATCTCTCATCTACACAGAGGCCGCTGCTGGAGAGATCGTGTGACCGGACAGGAGTAGCTTCATAATAGGTGTATATACAGATCTTTTCTTTACAGGGTTAGATAGAATAGGCCTAGAATGGGGGTGGGAGTGGGTTTAGCCTTAGTTAGCTTTTGAATGAACTTCCACTTTAAGCCTTATATGAATTGCAACAGTCAATGAAACCCAAGCACTGGTTGGGACTCAGGGAGTACAAGTGAATTAAAAAGTCTAACCCATGCATTGGTTGGGGATCAAGTTGTGGTCACTTATGGAAAAAAATGGAAGCTTCAGCATGACCTGGATTCTTTTGTGAGCAGAGGGTCACCACTGCACTGCTATCCAGGGCTTTTTTTCTCAGGAAATAGATGCAGGAACTCATCCATGACCCCTCAAAACCCCCCTCCCCCACACCCCCTCCAAACCACATCAAATAGTGGGTGTGGTCAAACTTCACTAACAGAGGGAGGGTCTTACAGGGGCATTAAATACCAGGAGTGCATTACATACAGAGTGCAGAGGTTTTTTTCGGGGGGTTTACACACAGTGCAGAATTCAGGGGTGAGCTACACACAGAGTACAAAGTTCAGCCTTCTTCCATAGCTCCTTACCTCTCCATCCCCATCTCAATTTCATCCTTCTTCAGCTCTGATCTCTGCATGCACCCCCCTCCCCCCTTCCTGAAAAGCTCCACCATCTTCCACGTCTTACATTTGCTGCTGTATTAAGCCGAATCACCCAGCCGGCTCTAGTACCTCCACACACATTGGTGTCGGCATGTGCACTGTACCCTCTATAATCAGAAAGACTGATAAAATAATTTGTCGCCAGGATCACCTCAACTGAATGGTTTGCCTTCTCCCTGGTGCCAGGGTTCGGCATGTGGTGGACCTGTGTGATAAATTACTGGGAGGGACTGGGCATGACACAGCTGTCTTGGTCCATGTTTGAACCAAAATGACAGAATACATGGAAGGTGGCGGCTCCTTAACCCCTTGATGCCAATCACATGCAAATGTACAGCCTCTCAGCATCTGGGCCTTAATGCCGAGCGGCCGCATATTTGCGTGCAATTAGAAAATACATATGTGCTGAGAGTGCGTGCACTGCGAGCTCCCAGCACATATATCCGCTACTCCCGGAAAGGTCCAGATCTTCCCTTTCGATCGGTACCTTTTCTCATCATGTGACCGCCGTGGCGATGAATCACGGCGGTCACATGACCCTAAAACCCCGCCCCGCCTCCCGGCTTCTGAAACTCTTAAAGGGCCAGGAGGCACCGGTGCGAAGAGGTTAAGAATCAATTTAAAGAACTAGGCTGCAAGTTGAAGGGAAGGACCTCCAAGGTGATATTCTCTGAAATATTATCTGTGCCATGCGGAACTCAGGAAAGACAGGGGGAGATTAGAGAACTCAATGCATGGCTGAAGACCTGGTGTAAGAGGGAAGGATTTGGGTTTCTAGAGCAATGGGCCGACTTTTCATTGGAGTGCAGCCTATATGCTTGAGATGGTTTGCACCTAAACGGAAGGGGGTCTGCTGTGCTGGGGGAGAGGTTTATGGGAAGGCTGGAGGAGTATTTAAACTAGGATCGAGGGGGGAGGGAGAAGTAGATTATAATGGGGTAGTTAGATCAGACAGGGGTCAGTACTTATTGCTGGGTGGAATGGTGAAAGATGGGGGGAGGGCTATGGCAGATGATAAAAAGGTTCCCATGTTACAAACAACCAGTGGAATTGGTACCATTTGTATGAAAAAAAAAATATGCAAAATACATGTGCACAAGGTGTCAATGAATTAAAGTGTTTGTTCACTAATGCCAGAAGTCTGCCAAGCAAAATAGGTGAGTTGGAAGCTTTGGTGCATAAAGAGAACTATGATTTAATTGGTATTACTGAATCTTGGCTTCATTCTTCACATGACTGGGCCATTAATATTACTGGCTATGTTCTCTTTCGGAGAGACAGAGTAAATAGAAAAGGTGGTGGTATCTGTCTCTATGTGAGAAGTGATCTCAGAGCGAGTGTGAAAGAGGGCCTAGTTGATGGAGAGTGTGATGAGGCTGAAGTATTATGGGTGGAACTGCACATGGGGGTGCGTACTACAAAGGTAATCATTGGAGTGTTATAGGCCTCCCAGTGTTAAAATGAGGAGGTGGAGCTCCTTGCACAGATCAAAAGGGCTGCAAGGGCTGGGACAGTGATAATAATAGGGGATTTTAACTACCCAGAAATTGACTGGAGTAATGGTACTGCAGGAACAGTTAAAGGGCAAAAAATACAGGACAATTTTATGGTACAGTTCATAGAGACCCCAACTAGAAATGATGCTCTCCTGGACCTGTTAATCTCAAACCATGCACAGCTTATTACGAATGTCCATATAAATGAACATCTAGGTAGCAGTGACCAAGCAGCAGGGCTCACCTGTCAGGTGGAAGCAATTGGGCAGCATGTAGGCCCTTTACAAAATAATCTAGAGTGGGTGACTGGGGACAAGGAGAAGGCAAATTTATTAAATATCTTCTTCAGCTCTGTGTATACAAAAGGAGCATGGGGGAGCTCTTGTCCATAATGGGCATGGTATTGACACAGCTCCAGATGATCCGCATCCACCCACGGGTCCTTAAAGAATGGAGCTCTGTCATTTCAAAGCCATGGTTTCTAATTTTTAGGGACTCTTTAACCACTTGCCTACCATGCACTTTCACCCCCTTCCTGCCCAGGCCAATTTTCAGCTTTCAGCGCTGTCGCACTTTGAATGACAATTGTGCGGTCATGCAACATTGTACCCTAATGAAATGTTTATAATTTTTTTGAGACAGATAGAGCTTTCTTTTGCTGGTATTTAATCACCACGGGGGTTTTTTTTTTATTTTTTGCTAAACAAACCAAAAACAATCGAAAATTTCGAAAAAAAGAAAAAAGTTTTTTTCTTAGTTTCTGTTATAAAATTTTTAAATAAGTCATTTTTCACCTTCCCTGATGTGCGTTAATGAGGCTACAGTGATGGGCACTGATAGGCGGCACTGACTGGCACTGATAGGTGGCACTGACTGGCAGCACTGATAGGTTAGAGTGAGAGGACGTCATATGACATCCTCCCAGAATGAGAGAACCGTTGTGCTCCCATCATTACCTTTTATGGCGGGCGGGAGGCAGGCAGTTAATGACTGGCATAATACCACTGGATTGGCGTAAGGCCAATGTGGTGCCAATATTTAAAAAGGGGTCAAAATCTTTACCAAGTAATTATAGACCTGTTAGTTTAACTTCTATAGTTGGGAAGATACTGGAGAGTTTAATAAAAGACCACATAGATGAGTTCTTGCTGGAAAAAAATATATTAACCACTTGGCAACACCGCTATAGCCGAATGACGGCTACAGATTGGTTGTCCAGTTTTGGGAGGGCGTCCTATGACGTCCTCCCAGAACACGTCCTCCCGTGCACCCGCAGTGGTGCGCACCTGGCGATCCCCGTGATCGCTGTGTCCTACGGACACAGCTGATCACGTTAGGTGGTAAAAGGCCAATCACAACGGTCTTTTACTACGTGATCAGCTGTGTCCAATGACACAGCAGATCACCGGGTAAATGCAGTTGCCGGTTATCGGCTACACTTTCCTTATGCTGTCACAGAACAAAAAACAGATCGGCACTGATGATCAGGGCACTGATGATCAGTGCCCAGCAGTGCCACCTACCTGTGCCCATCAGTGCCACCAGTCAGTGCCCAGCAGTGCTTCCTATTCGTTCTGCCTATCAGTGCCCATCAGTACCGCCTATCAGTGCTGCCTCATCAATGGCCATCAGTGCAGACTCATCATGCACATCAGTGAAGGAGAAAAATTACCTGTTTGCAAAATTTTATACCAGAAACTAAGAAAACCTTTTTTTTTTTCAAATTTTTGCTCTTTTTTTGTTTATAGCGCAAAAAATAAAACAGCTAGTGGCGATTAAATACCACCAAAAGAAAGCTCTATTTGTGTGAAAACAATGCTAAAATTTTCATATGGGTACAGTGTTGCATGACCACGCAACTGCCATTCAAAGTGCGACAGCGCTGAAAGCTGAAAATTGGCCTGGGCAGAAAGGGGGTATAAGCAGGGGCGGACTGACCATTTGGAAACTCGGGCACTGCCCGAGGGCCCGGGGTCAGTAGGGGGTACAATGAGATGTCCCTGGTACCTTTTTTCATAGGTTTTTTTGAGTTTGGGCAAGGACACAGGGGCCCCATGAACCCCTATTGCCCGGGGGCCCCATGAGTTGTACGCCCCTGGGTATAAGTGCCCGGTAGGCAAGTGGTTAAGTAACAGACAGCATGGATTCATGAAAGACAGAAGTTGTCAAACAAATCTGATTTCTTTTTATGAGGGGGTAAGCTAAACTTTGGACAGAGGGGTGGCGGTGGACGTGGTGTACTTGGACTTTGCAAAAGCGTTTGACACAGTTCCCCACACACGGCTAATGTGTAAGGTAAAGTCTACAGGCTTGGAAAAATCTGTATGTAAATGGATAAAAAAAACTGGCTAAAAAGATCATATTCAGAGAGTAGTGGTTAATGATTCATACTCTGAATGGTCTCGGGTCATCAGTGGTGTACCCCAGGGTTCAGTGTTGGGACCCTTACTTTTTAATATATTTATAAACAATATAGGGTCTGAGATTATAAAATCCCATTTCAGTCTTTGCAGATGACACCAAGCTTTGCACTGGAATAACGTCCTTACAGGATGTCTTCAATTTACAAACTGACCTCAATGCACTGTTTAATTGGGCAACTATGTGGGAAATGAGGTTTAATGTTAATAAATGTAAAGTCATGCACTTGGGGACTAAGAATACACATGCATCATACATACTAGGGGGGGTACAACTGGGGGAATCAATGGTGGAGAAGGATCTGGGAGTTCTGGTAGATCACAAGCTTAATAATGGCATGCAATACCAAGCTGTGGTTTCTAAAGCGAGCAAAATCCTCTCTTGTATTAAAAGAGGTATAGACTCCAGAGAGAGAGATATCATATTACCCCTGTACAAATCATTAGTAAAACCTCATCTGGAATATGCAGTTCAGTTTTGGGCACCAATTCACAAAAAGAACATTGGGGAACTGAAGAAAGTACAGAGAAGGGCAACCAAACTGATAAGAGGCATGGAGGAGATCAGCTATGAGGAACTGAATTTATTCTCTCTTGAGAAGAGCAGATTAAGGGAGGATATAATCAACATGTATAAATACATCAGTGGGTCATATAGTGAACTCGGTGTAGAATTATTCACCCTGAGGTCATCACAGAGGACAAGGGGGCACTCTTTACGTCTGGAGGAAAAAAATTTAATCTCCAAACACGGAAAGGTTTCTTCACAGTGAGAGCTGTGAAAATGTGGAATAGACTCCCTCAAGATTGGCTCTGCCCAGCTCAGTGGATTGCTTTAAAAAAGGCCTGGATTGTTTCTTAGATACACAGAATATAACTGGATACTAACATTTATAGGTAAATTTGATCCAGGAAATATCCGATTGCCTCTTGGGGGATCAGGAAGGAATTTTTTCCCCTGTAGGAGCAAATTGGATCGTGCTTTGCTGGGTTTTTTGCCTTCCTTTGGATCAACTGTGGGTGTAGAATTATAACTTTTTTTTTTTTAATGGTTGAGCTGGATGGACTTTTGTCTTTTTTCAGCCAGACTAACTATGTAAGTATGTAACCCTGGGCACCTGCATATCCTTTACCCCCATCCTGCACTCAAGGGGAGCCACTCAAGAGATCAGAACTGTAGGTGCATTGGGAAACATGATGTCATTTGAAAAAACAAGTAGGACTTCTGTGTTTACAAGTGATATTGGTGAGCATGGAGCAGAGGGCTTAAGCCATAGGTGGTGGAACTGAGTTCCACCAAGTTCCAGCTGAAAAAGCCCTGCTGTCATCTATAGGAAAGCAGAGAAAATTACCAGATGCTTCTTTGTCTTAGCACTGGTCCCCCTGGGACCAAAGGCTAGTGTGATGCTGCAAACAGTTCTCACACTATACTATGATATTGATTGGGTGAATCACTCCTTGTGCTCCCACCGTCATCCACTACTAATCCTGACACATGTCCTGTGCCCATTTCAAGTCAGTCAGGGTCATCCACTGAACAATGCACAACAATCAGTAAAAAAAAAAATGCACAGCAGAATCAGCTGACATCATATACTGTATGTAAACGGATGCATGATGTCCCAGACTGCAGAGTGGTGACCAGTTTTAGTTCTTTGTCCAGAACTGACAACAGCAGTACATAATATATACCAATACACACCGTTATTGTAAGACTGCAAGAACATTTGGAGAATGCTGAAGCTGCCACCGGTGAAATCAAGCAGCACGTTTCCGATGCTCCATCCTGCTGTACTTTTCCGGCGAAAATTCATGTATGCCTGAGACACAAAACAAAAGTCATCTCTATCATCTGCAGCCCAATTTTTAATAAGGCATAAATTATATTCCATTAATCCATTTATACAATCTGATAAATGAATCCATTTATACAATCTGTACATTTATTTTTTTTAAATTTTGGATACACATTTGTATTCCTATCTAGGAGAGAATTCACTTTATTTCCTGTCACTGTGACAGCCTACTGTGACAGTAGGATAGGAAATAAGGAGGGTGGTGGTCACTGAGACAGGAAGACACAGACAGTAATAATAAAGAAAAATAAAGGAATGCGCTTAATAATAAAACATCAAATAATCTCCACCGATCATATGTGCAAAATAATAAGTGTCTATATAACAAATGTCCACAATTGTTGTATATAGTCCAACACCAATCAGTGAAAATCAATATTAGAAATCTTTCTGTAAATAATAACCACCATGAAGAAAATCCACCACCGAATGAATTAAAATAACTCACCAGAGCTATATGCTGATCAAATTATAAATCAGCATAATAGCTATTGCTCTGGGAACGATGATCTGCTGAAATTTCCAAGGAAACAATGCACTGCAAACAGCCCACCAGCATGGATAGGAAACACTCTGATGTTAAATGGTCATCCACTCTCTCTCCATCAAAGTGGTAATACTCGGTGAAGCAAGAAGAAATATAACGGTGCAATACGTTTTAAAACCATGAACTTTATTATATACTGATGTACACTCACAAAAAAGGTGTCTACGCCAACACCAGCAATGACAGCCTCTGCAAAAACAACTACGAGCCTCGCTCACCGCCACAGCCCAGCCGACAGTACCGAGGAACGTCTTGACGTCACATCCATTAAGCCCTGCCCTACGCGTTTCGTCATTCGACGTCCTCACGGACCAGATATTTACAGAAAGATTTCTAATATTTATTTTCACTGATTGGTGTTGGACTATATACAATTGTGGACATTTGTTATATAGACACTTATTATTTTGCACATATGATCGGTGGAGATTATTTGATTTTTTATTATTAATTGCATTCCTTTATTTTTCTTTATGCTTACACCAGTTTCTTGGGTTAAGGTTTGCAGCTGATTTGGAGCATTTTTTGGCGCTTTTCTTTTTATTACTAATAGACAGTAATAATACTGTTTGAGGTTCTAGCCTTATTTTTACTGCAATGTTTTGTTCAGTCTTTGTGCTCCTGCGTTAGATTCTGCATTATTTGCTGCCCATGACAGGCTACAATAAAAATCTGACAGGAGTCCAATGTAAATATAAAATAAATGTAATATAAATATTAAATAAATTGAAATTACCATTTTTATAAATGCCAATATTCTAACTCTAAAAAATGTAATCCAAGTGTTCTGAGTGGGTAGTATTACTTTAAAAACACAGACACAAATCTTACTATATCATAGGGGTCTTCCACATGTTAACAGATGACTATTCAGCCCTCAAAATCCCTGAGTATAGAGCAGTGAAATCCCTTTCCCATTGTTATTTGAGGGACTAGATCCTGACCTGTAAAATACAATATTTCTGGCTTCATTTTATGGTTGAGCCACAATATCAGGTTTGACTTGCAGCATCACCTGTTAGTGAAGTCTGGAACTGAGGATACGTGTGCATTTTTTTTTTTCTTGTGCCACATTATACTACTGCAGCAGGTTAAACTGCAAAACAGATCTGTAACTTCAAATCCTTGTCCTGAGCAAACTCAGGGACTGCAGGACGGAGATCCCTCAGAGTTACTACATGGATCAAGGATTTAAACATACACAAATGGGCTCCAAAACATGAGGGGAAAGAGTCCAGTAAAACCTAAATAATTCACAATTCGACCATAATGAACATCCAACGCATTTCAGGAGCAACAACCCCCATCATCAGGGCTTAGTATACGGGAATGAAAAAGACTTTAAAGGACTTAAACGTCAAATTAAAACTAGAGATCTGTAATGGGAATCTGTATTCACTTTGATTAACTTTTTAAAACTGCAGACATTATGCAGAGGCCAATAGAAGCCATCACGAAATGCCTCATGTAAAACTGGCAGGTTTTCCAACAATGGCATTCAATGCATGAATATCCTAAACTCCACCATTCTGGTTTGCTTAATCTGGCATACAATTAGTACATTTTGGCCAATTCCTGATGAACTGTTTGAAATTTGCCAAGTTAGCTGGGCATTTCAACCCTCTGCAAAACACCCCCCCCCCAGCATACACCATCGTGAATGAAAAATCGAAGGAGTCAAACTGTCAGCAAAACAGTGCCTGCATCCAATTGGATATGGGTATTGTTCAGGTGTTTTGACAGCTGGTTGGAATGGCTGCCAAAATACATTAACCACAACCGAACCGAAGATTTATTCATTTGTGCTATATAACATGGATTGAGGAATTGGTTCGAATTTTTTCTATTTGGTCCAGAGACTGAACAGAACAAAATCCATATATGTTGGGCCCATTAGCTTCTCTACAAACTTTTCTGGGACCAATGAAATACCATAGGTCATTTCACTACTTCTGCAAAGCTTTGCTCCTTTCTCCTAACCCCTACCCCTTTCCTCCATCAGTGTCCAGGGTGGACACCACTGCTTCACATCGGGAGAAACTGTACTTACTAAGGTTTCTAACAGGATCGAGGAACAATTCACAAACAACAAGAGTATGTAAGGGACAATCACATAATATTGTGTGTAAAGATCAGCATCCATCACTTAAGGCAGGTTACCTGTGGGAAGTATTTCATCAAAGTAATGGCCAGTTTGATGTATGAAAAGCAGAACAGGAACTGAAGCCAGGTGACTCTACCCGCCACTGCCACAAACAACATGGAGAACGCAAAGAGCCAGGCAATGACCAGTAGACCAATGGACACTTTGGAAACCCTTTGTTCTCCCCTCTGAAGAAGAAAATAAAACACATTAAGATATGAATGTATACAAAAGCACTTGAGAATAAGTTACCTCTTTGCATTTGGAATCTATGATGAGTTATAATGGTGATATGCTAAGGATATGTAATATACAGTAATAGTACAAAATATATGTAATGCTCTATAATAGAATCACAGCTAGTACAGATATTAAAGAAGTGCTCCAGTCTAGTGGAAGAGCAAGATATTACTATTAAAATATATGTAATCCCTGACAATGAACTTCTCTTATGTGCTCCCTTTTAGTTTGTGAATTACAAAAAGGGGAATTTACTAAAGCTGGAGCTGCGAGAATCTGGAGCAGCTGTGCAAAGTGACCAATCAGCTTCTAGCTTGGGGGTTAACTAAAGGATTGTGACAGGCTCTCATCAAGAGATCCCGACTATGCCTGCCCTTTCCCACCAAGCTGATCCATTCATAGAAGCTGTACTTCAGCTTCTATGTAAAAGAATGAAACAGGATCTATGATCATCCACCCATCCCCTATTAGTAGATTCTGTTTGATTAAAGTGGTTGTAAAGGAATTTTTTTTTTGTAAATAACAAAACATGTCTATACTTACTTGCTCTGTGCAACAAAATTGCACACAGCAGCCCCGATCCTCCTATTCTCAGGTCACCTGCAGGCACTCCTGGCTCCTCCTCTCTTGCTGGTGCCCCCAATAGGAAGTCCATTAAAATGGGGGCACTCGTGCACCCTTGCTCCTGAGCCCGCTGCTGCTTCCATTGACACAGACAACGGGACTTTAGTCACTCATAAACTGTAAGATGTCTTTATATCGCTTTATATGTACATGATTTTGCAGGTAAAAAAACAATGCCTTTATTGATTTATTTTTTTTACACAGAAGCATGCAAAGTATTGATCCCGCAATCAGTGGATCGCATGCTACTGCAGACACTTGCCCCAGCTCTCTGCTCATAACACTGTATGGGCTTTCAGATACAAATGTCCATTTACACCCACCGCTCCATAGTGGAGAATGGAGTGTTCGATCAGGTCCAGCTGAAATACAGACAGGCAGACCCAATCGAACAGCCAGTGTGAAAGGCGTCTAAATAGTAAAGGTGCTTACCTCATAAATGCAGCATTGAATAATAGTAATGAGTGTTAGTAGCACTGCATGGAGACTAAAAAACACATCATTGGCATCCACTGGGATCACTCCATTGGGGTAGATGTGTAAAAATTGTTCCTGGAAGTGATATTAAACAAAAGATTTGTTAATACTGCAGTAGACTATGCAAGATATTGTTAATAACACAACAAAACATAGCATACCTTAATGTATGGAATCCAGAAGAGTCCAACATTAAAAACACTATAAGATATGAAGCCTGTGAGATTTAATGCCAGGAAGTCAAAGCTTAGGCCCACAACGCTGCAATAGAATGGAGATAATGGATGTTAATGCAATCTCTTATATACTGTACACTCAGCTACTAATGGTAAAATAGCTCAGTCTATGTCCTTTGGAAAATCTTAAATTGTCATTTTGAATGTTTTAGTAAAGCATTACATGAATTTGTTTCATAGGTTAAAGCAGAAAAAATTCTGCAAAATAAAGTGAGACCGAACACTGCTTTCCTCGTTTTCTCAATAGAAGTCTGGCAGTTTAGGTAGTGTAAATCTAGGTTTGACTTATTGGGGGAGATTTACTAAAACTGGTGCACAAAGAATCTGGTGCCGCTGTGCATAGCAACCAATAAGCTTGTAGGTTATATTGTCAAATTGATCAAGCTAATTGGTTACAATGCACAGATGGCCAGATTCTATGCACCGGTTTTAGTAAATCTTCCTCGCTGTCTGATGATTAAAGAAGCGGCTTGTTATTTTTAATTACCTTTTTCTCTTCCAATTCTCATACACCTGAGGGTAGAAGGATACAGACCAGGCCAAGAAATAAATCCATCCAATAATCTGCTCCAATACCTCCACAGCAAGGCTATGGATCACCAGGAACCGGATTCTTGGCCTGCAGACAGAGAGATTAGATTGTCAGTATGATATTGTTTAAGTCTATCATTAACTCAATACCATATTTTTTCTCCTGTGTTGCTGCATAAAAAAGGTTTTTCTGGTGCTGTAGTTCATGTGTAGCACTACTCCAAATTCCTGTGGTAATGCCCCCTTTGCTGATCTTAGACTTAATAGGGAACTAAACCCTTCTATCCTTAACAGACATGGACGCTGCCATCTTAGCTTGTTTGATCTGCAGTTTCCATGATGCAGCACATGACAACAGCCATTTGATGGCTTGGCAACTGTGACAATTAGCAATCATGGCATACCTTGAATGTAACTGTTTTGGGAAATAGTTAAATAAGTGTGTTTAGTTCCACTTCAGTTTTTACTCCGCACTTCCTGATTTAACCCTATAATTGCCACACAATTGCCACATTGTGCTGCAATCATGTGAATTGAATCTGGTTTAGGTTCAGTTCCAATGCAGCCCTACAGAACAGCACTAGTTGCATTTGAGGGCGGCTCCATCCACTAAAAGCAACATGCTGTTTAAGTTCTGCCATGGCATGTGTACAGCTGTCAACTGGTGTAAGTTTATTGTTCAGGCAGGCGTGGGGGGGGGGGGGGGGTATTACCAAGGCTCAACTGTCTAGTTTTACCACCACCCCCGACCTCACATGTGAACAAACCCTAAGGATGTAGTAATAAAAAATGTTCAATAGAAACTGAAGGTGAATGTACTTTAATTTTGTGTGAATGGGGCAAAAAACCCATATGAGGCTACTTTCTGTGTTAGACGAATAGTGTTCATTGATTTTAAATGGAAAATACCACAGATGGTGCCAAGTAGCCTCAGAAAATTTTTATGGTACTTAGTGCTACCTAGTGGCCCAATGCAGTATTTTCCCTTTTAAATCAATAAATACCATGTGTTTAGCACAGCAAATAGCCTAATAACATTTTATTTTTTTTGCACAGAACAAATGTATGTGTATTTTTATTGAATGAATTGCTATGCCAATTTTCTTATGAATATACTCCTAAGGTTATTCATCCATACATGTGTTGCATGTTCTCCATTTTCATCAGCATCTCTTTGATGGATGTAGTTCAAACAAAACTAAGAAAACAAAAAACAAACACACTTGCATGAATTTTCTCTATTTGGCCAATGTGGTGAATGTACCGGGGTTGGTCCAAAAATATGGAAGCACTACATGATTTGCAGGTGTGAAAGTGACATGTTTCACGTTGAAAGGGATGTAACATTCTTTTTTTTCTGCTGTGTGATGAGACACCTAGCTAACAGGTGGGATGTCTCACTTTCGTCATTCACTGTGTGCACTGCTAGTAATATGGAGTCATGTCAGAGCTTACTGAGCTTCAAAGAGTGTAAATTGTTGGTGCCGCTTAGCTGAGGCCTCTCTGACTGAAGTTGCTAATTTATTTGCGGTGTCGCAAGGTACAGCATCAAAGGTTATGATAACATATACATTTTACGGGAAAACCTTGTCTGATAAGCATAAGCTCGGTCGACATGGTCAACTGACCGAAAAAGACAAAAAGGACACTGCACAGGATTGTGACCCGGAATAAGAAAACAACTGCTGCAAAAGTGACTGCAGAGCTCAATCTCAGTCTTCCAAAGCCCGTGTCCACAAAAACATTCATGGGCGAGCTGCAATTGCCAAACTACTAGTGACCAATTTTAAAGCTCAGAAGAGGAGAGAGTGGTGTAGCACCTATAAATCGTGGACAATCGATCAATGGAGAAGACTGTAACATGGTCTGATGAATCGAGTGTTACACTGTTCCCAACCACCGGGCATGTTTCCGTGTGGCAAACACCGTCCAAAGCTTATGACAGGACTGTCTTCTGCCAAGGGTAAAGCATGGTGGCAGCACAATCATGGTTTGGGCAGCCATAGCTTGGTATTCTGCAGGCCCCATCATCACCTTGAAAGGTAGAGTCACTGCCAGCAACTATGTACACATTTTGGCCGACCATGTATACCACATGCTGACAGACATTGTTTCCCGAAGACAGCACCATTTACCAAGACGATAACGTTCCGATTCTCACAGCCGGTGTTGTCGAATCGTGGTTTGACGAGCATGCGGACAAAGTCTTGCACCTTCCCTGGGCGCCGCAGTCACCGGACCTCAATATCATAGAAGCACAATGGTCAATTTTGGAGAACATGGTTTGGGCTTGTTTTCCGCTTCCAGTATCTCTGTGAGAACTGGAACGATTTTTGCATGAACAGTGGTGTCAAATTCCATTATCCACCATCCAAGACTTATACTGGTCAGTTCCCAGAAGTCAGGAAGTCTTGGATGCCAAAGGCTTCCCAACACCATGTTTGGTAACGATTTAGTTCTTTTACCTGGTGTTTCCATAATTTTGTCCAACCTCTCTACATTCATCAAGGGTGAGCAGGAGTGAAAAAAATAACTCTAGTGCCACTTAAACACAATAATACAGGATGGATAGACCGGGAAGGTAGAAGAGTAACATTGAGTAAAGGCCTTTAACTAGACCTCCCTTGGGCTCCATAGCAGTTGCTTAGTTTGCTCAGGCTATAGTTACCCCCCTTCTTTAATCAGTAGGGTCAGCTGTCCAATATATCTGATATAATATGCTCCCTGTATTGACTGCTTATTTTACTGATTTTTTTTTTTTATATGCCGGCTTATCTCATTCAAAGCAGAAGAGGAAGCAGTACTCAGTTTGCACATGATGGAAATGTCCTCACTCTTAACACAAATGGCAAAGTTTGAACAAACCCAGCAGTGCGAGAATTATTGCTGTACAAATAGGCCGTAACTTGTCCCACATCTTCCGCAGCCACAGTAAAAGTTGATTGCTTCGACTTTGGCAACAAGACAATCTGGAATTGGAAAAAAATAAATAAATTTCTTACAAAATATCTTATTTCACTTTTATGTCTATAGAAAGGGCAATGTGGTCACAGTCGTTACAGATACAGACCTTGTGAGTTTATATTTGCAGAACTACGAACACTTGCACAATACTAATTCAGACGTCAGTTGCATAATGGCCATCATGCAATAGAAAGTATATATTAAGATCCTTATTTGAAGCAGAAATATATAACAGTACACCCATGTTCAGGCATCAGAATATAGTTTTAGCAAACTGAAGTGAATACATGCCATCTCTATTCATTTTAACTGTGTATTCACTTTGTCCAAAATCAAGCAGCTTCAACTGGAAGGGTTTAGTCTCACCAGCCACATAGACTTGCTGTGTTTTCTAGCGAAAGCCAATAAATGTTTCCTGCATGATATTCTCCCACCAATACATTTCCTTGGAAAAAAGTTCTGACAGCTAAATTTTCTAAGTATTTCCATACATCTTACTATTTAAGTGTTTGTAAAAACTGGAGTTTTTTTTTACCTTTATGCATGAAGGTAAAATACCTTCTGTGTGCTGTTCTCCCCGCACTCCCCTTTATACTCACCCGAGCCCCCTCTCAATCCAGCGATGTGCACAGGAGCCTCGGCTGTCCTGAGTCCTCTCCCTTATTGGCTGAGACACAGCAGTGGGAGTCATTGGCTCCCACTACCTTCAATCACAGCCAGTGAGCCCATAAGAAGAGAACGGGGAGTGGGGCCAAGCCGCGGCTGTATCTGTCCTATGGACACTTAGAGCGGGGCTTGTGAGCAAGCACACACCAGTGACCCCAAAGCAAGCAGCTTGCATTGGGGGGCACTTGTCAAGGGGGAGGAGCCAGAAGCACCGGTGGGGAACCCGAGAAGAGGAGGATTGGTACAGATCTGTGCAAAACCACTGCACAGATTAGGTAAGTATGACATGGTTGGTATTTTTTTTAAAATGAGCCTTTAATATCACTTTAAGGTCTCATTTACACCATGTATAGCGACCTGCATTTTTCTTCACCGGATCAATGAAGCTCACTGCAAGGGCACATAGAAAACAATGGTTTTCTACATGCCACGTTCATACCACAGTGTTGTGTACATGCGTGTTGCAGTGCATTGTGTTAAAATGTAAATGCAACACAACTGAGGGTTAAGATATAAAAAATATATTGTTGTTGGTATTTTGACCTCAACAGGGGACTGTGACTTCACAACAGATCATATAAAAATGCATGCCTATACACACAAAAATGCAATGCACATGAAAAGGCATGTTAAATGCAAATCCACGCACATGCATTTTCGGTGCATTACAGTATGGTGTGACCTGAAGTCATTTGAATGGAGTCTTTTAAAAATGCATTGAGGAGAACCGGAAATTGCATGAAAGTGCACCTCATTGCAGCACATTAAATGCAATGAAATGCAACTGAAAGTAAATGACAATGGGCATTGCAGCAGCATAAAGGGCATGAGTTTACAAGTGTATCTGGTGAGATAACGATCTGAGCCAGTTTGTGCCTTACTTGTTCATGTAATTGTAACCAGTTAGCAGTGACACACAGAGGGGTTATTTACCAATACTGGATCAGCTTCAAGGTTTTATTGCTGAAGTTAGAAGCTGATTGGCTACCATTCACAGCTGTACCACATTCTGAGTGCTCCGGTTTTATAAATCCCCCCCCCCAAATAACTGCTTGTGACTTCTAAGGAAAATTCTGAGCACAGAAAAAATTTCTATAAAAATGTGCAAGTTCAGCAAAAAAATAAATCTTTGAAACTACATCATGGAAACAAAACATTCCTGCTCGCTAGATGGGAAGTTACACCAAAGTGTAAAAAGCATTGTTTCATAGAAAACCAGTACACTTTGTGTATACACGTATCCTCCAGCACTCCACTGCAAATCAGAAAAGGTGCACAGCCACAACTAGCAACAGGAAATTTTGTAAAAAAAGTGGTGCAGCGCTGTGTGTGCGCTATGATTAAATTAAATGATGTCAAACCATATTCATGTGAATAAATATTATAACCCTGTGTATAATCAATATACTTAATAAAATTGTAGTATCATCGTGGTGATGTCATTACGTATGGACGGCAATCACCATCTTGGGACTCTAAAATTGTAGTATAATCCAACGAGTTAATAATAATTGCAATCAAAGTGACCAAGTTATACACCATGACATACATAAATTGCAAAAAGTCCCAAGTGTGAAAAAATATTATATGCATAAAAATAAAAAAATCCAGATTTTCAATTCTTCAACTTTATATTGCGTGCTCATATAAATGGTACCAATATATCCATCACCTTCTGCCATGTGCGCTCACCTCACAAATTTGACCCTCAAGGAGTCAAAGAGCAATTAATATCACCAGATGATCCCAGGCTGGATGGATCTCTCCCACTGGACATAGGAAAAGCTCTCACCGAAATCAAAAAACGGTCAAACACACCTTTTAGGGGATCTTCAAATGGCTCAAAAAGAAGTCCGAAAAATAACTTCCACAGTGTAGTAATTTAATATTTATTGGTAAAAAAATCAATGACAAGAGGCTACTCACAATAAAAACAAGGGTCACAGACCCATCAAGCATGTACTGTGTAACTCACAGTCAGGTGTACATACAAAGAGTCCCAAGATGGTGATTGCCATCCATACGTAATGACGTCACCAGGATGATACTACAATTTTATTAAGTATATTGATTATACACAGGGTTATATTATTTATTCACATGACTATGGTTTGACATAGTTTAATTCAATCATAGCACACACAGCGCTGCACCACTTTTTTACAAAATTGTCTTTCATCATATTAATGCCGGGTGTTAGCAGCTACATGATTCCCTGAAAGGATATTTGGCAGCGCATGAGTCCACCCCCTACTTAATTGTAGCAACAGGAAATGCATCCATCTTAACCAAAAAGGTATTTCAGTGTAACAAGGACTCCAACTCATCAAGAAGGATTCTTTGGATTAATGGAGAATATTTTGAGACAGATTCCAAGCTTGTAGTGATATGATGGACCAGAGACCTCTGATGAAGTCAATGATGAAACGCATAGGGAAGAGTTTCTACTAAAGCTGTGCTAGGGTTGAAAAGTATCTAAGCTAGTTGACTTTTTCAAAGTAAGTTTTATTTGACATTTCTTCACAAGTGTTGTTGTGTCCTCATTTATCCAGGCCATGGTATATCTAGTACTAGTTAGTTACTCAAGTGGATGTGTTCTATAAACTTTAAGACATTTCATGGCTTATCCAAGTCTTTTTTTTCAGTTTTCAGAATTTAAGAAGTTTCTTAGCTAAGCTGAGAAACGTCTTTACATTGGAGAACAAGTCCAGAATAATTTGACTAACTACTACTAGCCTTCTTCTGAAATGCTATCCTATTACTGGCAGCTCTCCTTTCACTCTACAAACTATCACAAACTTTTCTCAAGAAGTCATAGGCAGCAGCAGAGGAGTCACTTGAGATCCCTCTTAATACTGGAGATGATGCTATATGACTTATCTTTTTAACATCTATAGTGAAGGAAATAAGTATTTGATCCTCTGTTGATTTTGAACGTTTGCCCGCTCACAAAGATATGATCAGTCTAAAAATCAAATGGTAGGTGTATTGTAACACTGAGAGACAGAATAGCAACAAACAATTCAAAAGAAATGCATGTCTAACAAATTCTGCACTGATTTGCATGTTCATGAGGGAAATAAGTATTTGACCCCCTTCACAAAACATGTACTTGGTGGCAAATCCCTTGTTGGAAATCACGAAGGTCAGACATTTCCTATAGTTGGCCACCAGGTTTGCACACATCTCAGGAGGGATTTTGGCCCACTCCTCTTGGCAGAGCCTCTCCAAGTCATTAAGGTTTGGTGGCTGACGTTTGGCAACTCAAACTTTCAGCTCCCTCCACAGAATTTCAATCAGATAAAGGTCTGGAGACTGGCTAGGCCGCTCCAGGACCTTAATGTGCTTCTTCTTGAGCCAATCCTTTGTTGCCTTGGCCGTGTGTTTTGGGTCATTGTCATGCTGGAACACCCATCCACGACCCATTTTCAATGCTCTGGCTGAGGGAAGAAGGTTCTCACCCAATATTTGACGGTACATTGCCCCGATCATCATCCCTTTGATGCGGTGCAGTTGTCCTGTCCCCTTAGCAGGAAAACACTCCCAAAGCAGAATGTTTCCACCACCATGTTTGACAGTTGGGATGGTGTTCTTGGGGTCATACACAGCATTCCTCCTCCAAACACGGCAAGTTGAGTTGGTGCCAAAGAGCTCGATTTTGGTCTCATCTGACCACAACACTTTCAACCAGTCCTCCTCTGTATTATTCCGATGTTCAGTGACACACTTCAGATGGGCCTAGACATGTGCTTTCTTGAGCAGAGGGACCTTGCAGGCGCTGCAGGATTTCAATCCTTGTCGGTGTAGTGTGTTACCAATCGTTTTCTTGGCGATTGTGGTCCCAGCTGCCTGGAGATCATGGACAAGATCCTCACGTGTAGTTCTGGGATGATTCCTCACTGTTCTCATGATCATTGACACTCCACGAACTGAGATCTTGCATGGTGCACCAGACCTAGGGAGACTGACAGTTGTTTTTGTGTTTCTTCCATTTGTGAATGATTGCACCAACTGTTGTCACCTTCTCACCAAGCTGCTTGGCGATAGTTTGGTAGCCCAGTCCAGCCTTGTGTAGCTCTACAATCTTGTCCCTGACATCCTTGGACAGCTCTTTGGTCTTTGCCATGGTGGAAAGTTTGGAATCTGTTTGATTGCTCCTGTGGACAGGAGTCTTTTATACAGGTAACAAAATGATATTAGCAGCACTCCCTTTAAGAGACTGCTTCTAATCTCAGCTTGTTATCTGTATGAAAGACACCTGGTAGCCAGAAATCCTACTGAATGATAGGAGATCAAATACTAATTTCCCTCATGAACATGCAAATCAGTGCATCATTTGTTAGACATGCATTTCTTTAGAATTTTTTGTTGCTATTCTGTCTCTCATTCAAATTTTAGACTGATAATTTCTTTGTGAGTGGGCAAACATTCAAAATCAGCAGGGGATCAAATACTTATTTCCTTCACTGTACCTGTTCTGGTGAGCATACTTCCTAATGCTGATAGCGCTGGGCAATACTTCCAATTCAGGAGCTAGTTGAAGCACTGGATTACATGTGACTTCTGGGTACTGTGCAATACTGAACAAAGCTTGTGGGTGAGTTTTGGTGTACCACAAGTTCTACAATGGAGAAACATTCCTACATTTATAGCAATCCCCATATGACCCACTCCATTGTAAACCACTCTTTACGTTTATGCCTACATCAGTTTGGCTTTGCTATTGTCAGATGACTAGAATCAAAGGGTGCAGATAGGTGTAAAATTGACAGTTATAGAATCAATGGGGTTTATTTACTAAAGCTGAAGAGTACAAAATCAGGCTCACTTCTGCATAGAAATCAATTAGCTTTCAGGTTTTATTGACAAAGCTTAATTGAACAAGCGGAGGTTAGACGCAGATTGGTTTCATCTTGCACTTTCAAACTTTAGTAAATAAATCCTAATGTGCTCACTAAAATATGAAATAGTGTCTAAAGTTGCTCACTTCGATGATCCTTTTTTTTTAAGCAATTTTAGTGACAGCTCTCCTTTAAATGGCTGATCTATTTCACATGCATATATTAAGTGTACATATTACTTACTTGTCCAGGAAGGTGGACAATGGTTTTGTTCTTAGAAGTGTAGGTAATGTTGAATGTAAACACAGCAGTCTCATTCAGTGGTCTAGAGAAGAATATGGGGAAAACACACAGATATGACCAGGCAAGCTAATCTTATTTTCCACTAGAACATGAGAAAATTGAGAAAAAGAATCTATATTAATTTCATTGATGTCCCTCACTTTTATAATACAAAAATGGGTTTAAAAAAATACTTCACCTGCTTCCTTATTGTATGTACAGCCATAGATAGATTTACCACTCAAATCCCTTATACCTACTGCACCTACACAATGTTGGATGTGTTGGAACACAGAAAGGTCATGTCATGCTCATCACTTTAAGATGGGCATGAAGGTTTGCTCTTTTAGGATCAAGGTTTTGCTATGGGCTCATTTATAACAGGAAGCAGATATCTTCTCTCTGCTATTCTCCATTTCCTGTGCACCCTTCGGCCCATCTAATTCATAAAATTTGGGGGGCAGTGTGCAGTCAGCAAATAATAATGGTGTTCTCCTTGTTTACTAGAACAGCTGGAGTTCTGTGATTGGAAGGAAGCTGGTCATGTGACTTTGACAGGTCACTGTGATTTTGAATTTTGTGTTCTCTTTTTTCTGCTTTTTTAATGAGCCTCTTTTAGAAGTACTAAATTAAATGTCTCTGTAATAGGTAAGTTGGCCCAGTCCTGATTTTTGTTTTGAGTAGATGTCAGTAGGGTCAGTTATTCACTGGGGAGATCTACCCCTGCAGCTATAAACCCCCTTAATCCATGAAATAATTTGTATACATTTAATTATAGTGATACTAAAGTCAAAATCAATCCTTTTTGCTAAATGAGCTGCTTACATTTTGCTGTTTTTTCTTATATTTTTTCCCTTCTGAGCTTCCTCTTCATACCGCCCCCCCCCCCCCAGCAGTGCTGTCTGACTCCAGGTGCACAAGGGCCCCCATGTCAGTCGGGATCTATGGAAGCCCTATGGAGTCACCATGACGTGTCTGCATATTACATAGTTTATGTAAATGTGATTGTACAATATCTGCAAAATCTCTTTAAAAGTTACCAAATTATGTAATAGAAGGGCAAACCTTAGCAATATTCATTAAATTAGTATCCAGTCAGGCAGACCACTATACTACATAGTTGATGGTGCATCTGAAGAAGGTTGCCAAATCAAACTGTATAGTGTATGATCAGCCTAAACCCGGCCAAGGAGAGGGTTAGAATCTCAGCTGGTTCTGCAGGGAACGGCTGTGATTAAAACCATATATGGGTAGTTTGATTGTACCCAATTCAATTGTTGTACGACTTGGGTAGAACCAGTTGGATTTTTCATGAAATTATTGCCAGTGGCTATAGCCACTAGCAATAATCACCACGTTCTCCCGGCAGGGACGACACCCCTGCTTCCTCTCATCAGGAGAACACAACAGATTCACAGGAGAGATTCCCTCATCAATAATGACTGTGTTGAGGAAGCAACAAGCGATTTTATTTCCTGCAACTCGTGGTTGCAGGAAAAGAAAATTGCTTAAGGCTGGTCATGCACACCACATCCTTTACAATCCAGCTGATTTCAAACAAACACCAGATTGTATTCTACAGCTGTCATTTTCCAATGCAGGTATTTCAAGCTCATTGGTTGTTTTAAGATTCCTGAAGAAGTTCTACCATAGACAATTTCATAAAGAGCATGTAAATGAAGCAATTAAAACTCACAGCAGGTGGACACTTTGAAATAACATCACATATGAGATCCACTTACATTAAAGTCATGGTTACATTTTTAGAGCTGCCATTTTCGAAGCTAACAACATCTGGAAGGGAAACTCCGAAGGCAGGATCACTCCACACTGCAGAGGGCACAGGCTCCGCACCTGCAATTTAACATGATCTGTTATACTGAAGATGTAATGAACATATGATGTACAGCAACTGCCAGACCAAAGCAACAATGCCCTCTGTTACCCTGCAAAGAACCATAACTCATAAAAAGGTAGAAAGTATAAAATATTTACTTGCTGCATTACATTCTCATTGAGGTTTATAATAAGGCCATTGCATGACCATGGTATGACATCTCTTCTGTGGGGGAGAACCAGGATCAGAACACAGGTAAAGCCTCTGGAGAGAAGGGTCAGCTAGTTTCCAGCTTTGCCTGAACTGCAATACCCCATTAGAGAAGAGATCACATGCCTTGGCCCTGGCTCACATGTCTAGCCATAGTGGGATCTGAAAGCAATTGTCTCCGCAGCTTAAGTATTCTATGCATTCTACTTTTTCTGACTTACTGAGAGTAGTGTTCAGGTTGGGGGGGTAGTTGACATAAAGAGTTAGTCAACCTTTAGGGACATTTTCCTTCCACAACCCCCCCCCCCCCCCCCCCCCCATGCACTGCAGCCTCCCAAGCACATTACAATCCACTCTTATCTTTAAAAAAAGTGCTTCTTTGTCATTTTATACCTGTACCTAGTATGCAGTCCCTCCACAAAAACTCTGAGTAGGTGTACCCCCCTGTTCTGCCTAAGTGACAGGACATTACAACTGCACTTTCAACACTGAAGAAATGAGAACACTTGCTTGTTCAAAGGCCTTGCATGTGCATTGTGCAATCTCTCTCTCTGTAGCCGCAGCGGCTGAGCTCAGGGAGAGAGATTCCATACTGCACAAGCACAGTCTTTGAATGAGACAGCTCTATCTTTTGGTGCTGGAAGCGCCCTTGTAATGTCCTGCCTAAATGGAAAAAGAGTCACCTACTCCAAATTTTGTGGGCATGCAGTGTACAGAGTACACAGGACAAAGGAAAGAGTGGGTTGCAATGTGCCTGGGAGGCTGCAGGGCAAGGGGATTGGGGGGGATGGGGTGGAAAATGTCCCTAAAGATGAACTAACCCTTTAAAGTTCCATTTTAGCACTTACCACAAAGAAGTATACAATGAAGGAGGAAGAAGGTGAGTATGGTACTCTTTGTTTTCAAGTTCCCTTCCATATTTTGCGATGACCATCAGACCTGCATAACAAATACATGCAATTTAGTCTTCTTTCCACATGTGGGCGGTTTCTACATTTATCAAAGTTACTCCTAAAAAAAAAAAAAAATCTATATTGCTCTACAGCAACCAATAGGATTTATCCTTCCACTTTTCCACTGTCTTTTTCCCATGCTGCTACAGCTAGGTCAAGTGAGAAGCACACAGATACGTGAGAATGTGTCTACAAGATTATTCCATGGTCACATGCAGATATAACGACTCCCTGCAAAATGTGAACATTTCCTACTGAGCACAAGATATGCCACATGCAGAGCCAAGCCAAGGCAGAAGAGACACCCACCTTAGATGCCATGATGTAGAACACGGGTGTCAAACAGGTGGCCCTCCAGCTGTTGCCAAACTACAAGTCCCATGAGGCACTGCAAGATTGATAGTTACAAGCATGATTCCCAAAGGCAGAGGCATGATGGAACTTGTAGTCTGGCAACAGCTGGAGGGCCACCAGTTTGACACCCCTGATGTAGTCCATAGTCACTTCTGTATCACCTGGGTGTTTCTTGCATTGGGCAAGACTGAGCTGTCAAACAGAGCTCAATCCTGCATCGCACTTTGGCATCCTTGACTTGGGTGCCAGAAGACCTTGTCTTGACACTGACTGCATGGCACGTACAGGTATACCAGGTAGGAAAACCTAATCACCCAAATCTCATATAAACCTTAGGATGTTAATGTCATTTCTAAAGTCCTTTTTTTGTTTTTAAAAAAAATGTTTTTATTTAAATAAAAAAAAATTGTATTCTTGACATGAAGGCTGTTGTCCAGACACTGGCTGTCATAGGGTGACAACATTCTGTCTCTAACTCCCAGCTGTGGCCCTGTGTTGTCACCCAGTCACATGGGCAGACAATGGAGACTATGGGTGTCTGTGACAACACCTCATTCATGCATATTGCACTGTTGTCCCCAAACCCTCCCTGAGAAATGCCATGCAGTCATTGCTAGAGTGCATGTAGACAGGAAGTGGCTGCAAAAAGGATGCAAGAGATGAACATCAGAGGGAATGAGTACAGGGGAAAACAAGTATTTAAAAAAAAAAGTGCGATAGTGAAGAAAATGTACTTCAGTTAGGGTTCATATGTATTTTATTTACATGTACTTTGATGACTACCATTGAATATAGTTTAATTTTATTTTTTATAAAAAGTTTCATATGTAAAAATATGGAGAAAGCTGGATTTATATTTTAATCTACACTCACAGTCTAACTGAATAAACGGTAATACTGTACTACTTCTCTTACAAACACAGAGAACACTGCAATTTTGATATTTGTCACTGATTAACTTCCTGTAACATTATCTTGCTTCATTCATCTTGGTGCTGAACTGTACAATACAAATGTCACTGCAGAACAATACAAAATGTTCTTCTATTATGTTCCTAGACATGCATTCTCTGGACACAAAGAAGTATACTTTTCCAAACACTCATGTACTGTATGTGCATTCTACTGTATGTTCACAATTCATTATCAGCAGCAATATCCCCCAAATGTTAAAGCTGCAGCTTACCAATACTTAGGTGGTGTGGATGCATTAGTTTATTTTCCTTTATTTGTTACCCCCAACACTTCATAATCCTGATATATGTTCATTGTACCATTTACTTGTCTTAAACAGTATCCTGTTCTTTTTGTATTGCTTCCTTTGTGTGAAATACCTGTGTTCCTGGCAGTCCCTCTGCTTCCCTACTGCAAACTGACAACACTAGGCATGACAGCACATCCATTCCAATGTGGTCAGTTTATTGGTTGTGCTGAGATCGCAGCTTGCCTGTCCTCTAAAGGCCAAGACTTTTGCTGACACGCCCCCCCTGCACAGCCATTCACTGGAAATCAACATATCGCTTTTTCTCTACCTCTTGCTGGCATCCACCCCCTTCCCGGCAGTATCCACCCTCATCTCCCTTATGCAACTGAGACCAGAGATTATGTGATCTGACAGAGATTATGTGATCTCACACACACACAAAAGAAAAAGTATTTATAAATATACACACACACATATATATAAATGTTTTACCTTGCATTTATATTTTAAACCTAATGTGTTGCCTTATGAAGTAAGGTTCACATATACTTTAAAGCGGAATTTTACCCAAACAGGGCAGTTCTGCTTATTTGCATCTTCCCCCCCCCCCCCCCCCCCCCCCACCTCACCCCTGCTCCTCTTCAAACATTTGGAACTTTTGTGGGGGGAGGGGGAAGCTGGTGCCTGGTTTTGACAGGTACCCACTCCAAGCAAAAGTTTGACCCCCCCCCCCCACTCTTCAGGACACATCACATGTTCCAGAAGACTTTGGACCATTCACAAAGTGCATTGGGAAACTGGCTAGAAGCTGTGAGGCTTCATTATCAGTTTCCCTTAGTTAAAATGCCGGCTCCTAGACCCAAAGCAGACTAAATAATCAGCTTGGGTGAGGACAGCACTGGATCCCTGGACAGTGTCCTTGTATTAAAAGTCATCAGCTACAGCATTTGTAGCTACTCACTTAATTTTTGGGGGGTAAACTGGAGCTCCTCTTTAAGCTGCAGCTGCTGATCAACGTATTCTGACAGCAGAGAGTCCTGTTGCCAGAATACAATGTCCCGACTGGGGCATTCCGCCATCCACCTTGCTTGTATAGATGGAGTTAGTTTTTTGTTCTAATACTACCCTCTCCAGACAATGTTGATGTCCAAGGGTTGCTCTCAATGTATGGAGGAGCATTGGAGCCACCCATAGAGAGGAACACTGTGTGGAAAGGGTAGTGTCCTACACAAGAAAGGTGGATGGCAGAATCCCCCCCACCCACGGCCAGGACATTGTATTCTGAGACTCTGACAGAATACACAGATCAGTGGCTGCAGCCCATCTGTCAAACACGAATGGCCAGATAGGGATTGAAACTTTGCCAGTTCGTCCTTTTGTGATAAAGTTTTTACATACATAAATACAAGCTGACCATTATAAACACCCCTGTCAGTGGTAAATGGTTTGCTTCAACCCTCTAACTGCTACTTTTGCTGGAGAGCTCAGTCTGGTATAGGCAGATGAAAACTAACAGACTTACTGGGTGTATCACCAGGTAAAAACGGTTATGGGGGGAAGGCTAAGAAAAAAAAAAAAAAAAAAAAGATTGCTTTGTTAATGCTAGAGATAGATAGACTACATTGTAAACATTTTTCATATTGTCTCTAGTAGCACTTTAAGCCATCATTCATTATGACAGCACAACACTGCAGGTTTTGATACTCTGTACATGCTGGAAGCAGAAACTACTCGGTTTGTCTCTAATAAAGCAGTCTACAGACCCGATCAAGGAGAACCCATCATTACTGAGCATATTCAGGAATCTGTGTACTCCCCCCTACTTATTAGAACCATACAAGATTCTATAAACAGGTCCTTGCTAAAAGGAAAGATAAAGCTCGTCACATCTGGCCTTCCTCCCACTAAAGGTGGGTTACACAATTAGAAAATCAACCGTTCAGTCATCTGACGACCGAGAGGCATTCGTTCATTGGTCGAAATCGTGGCCCACATTGACCAATCTAAAAAAATAATTAGTTGGGAGATAGGTAGTGTTGATTATGCAGTGTGTGTGTGACCTTGTAGCCATGCCCTTGTCGCCAGAACGAGCGATCTACACAACAATTACCAGCAATGCATATAATATAATATATGATACATAAAATGTAATATGCAGAATTCTGGTTTCATTATCTCATTAGGCCAATCTACTTTTAACATTTGGATTTTTCATTTGTGTTTACGAAGATTCCTTGGACATAAACATCCGGGTCATCTTCTGTTTCCGCTCATGCGTGATAGCGCTTGATAGATTTTTTTTCGTACGACCGTCATACCGCCGCATATAAATTTGATCGTTCGTATGCAAAACGACACAGGCACAATGGACCCAAAGCAAACATAGGCTGCCAACAGGTCATTCTGGGAGTGGCCCAGTCAGGAGTCCTGACCTTCCAAACCCCGACTGAAATGCGTCGGCAATGACTCTTAAGAGAAACATTTTTCACTATTGTTCAACTGGATTTTTTTCATTCACAATATCGTTATGCGGCTCCAAAAAAGATGCACGTCTTTGGTGCGATGTGGTGTGATTTGAGCCTATACAAAATGAATGGATCCAAATCGCAGCACACAGAATCGCATGTGGTGTGGTTCCTGTGCGGTTCACATGCGAGCTACAATGTGAATCCAGGCTCAGACTCAATATTAACTTTAAGGGCTCATGTACACTGCAGCTGAATTATAAACTCACGTTTAGGAGCTGTTCAGCGTTTTTTTTTCAGTATCCCCTAAACTCACCCTAATGTTTTCCTATGTGTCCATGTACACATCTTCCTTTACAGTCGTTTACAGGCATTTGAGTTTACAGTCGTTTTTTTGAACACAGATAACTTTCATTCAGCAGTCAATTTTATCGGTGTTTCAAATGCAAAATGCTCGTAAACGCGGCTAAATGTGTCAAATCGCGTTTATAAACGTTTGCATTTGAAAAATTTTTTTAACTCTTCCAGTTCCCGATGCTGTCCAGAGCCTTTTTCATCATGGAAAATGCATGGAAAGCGTTTTCAAGGTACTCAGATGGACAAAGCACTGGACACAGGATGTTCCTACCAAGCTTGTCACACATTGTAATGACAAATTCACACCTCAGACCTCTCCCACCCTTGGAAACAAAAGATATGTTACTGACCATTCACACCTCAAATTCCTCATGAAGACCCCCTGCCAGGTGACCTTAATGACTCACTCCACCAGACACCTTTCCTACCCTTGGATACAAAATAAATGTTAATGAGCAACTCACATCTAAGATAATCTCAACATATACTGCTGTCTCTGCTTCTACTCTCTGTATTTCTCTGAAACAGTCTGAAATAGTTAACAATTTACCACTTTTCAGTGCATTCTGGGCATTTAGGAGGTTC